TTTCCAATAGCAGATGCTTTCCATGCCCAGTATGATCCTGAAGGATCTACTTGATATAATGCTGGACCAGTTTCATCATAACCCACAATAAGAAGAGATACACCAAATGGACGTACACCACTTTAAATATATTTTCATATTAATATAAACATAAATACAATTTATTACAAAATAATAATATTTAAAATCTTTAAATTTTTTTTTACATACCCACTTTGAGTAAATTCTTGCATTACACTAGCAACTTCTTTAACCAATATTCCTGTTGGTGGATACTCATTATATATCCTTTTATATTTTTGAGCTGCCTTTCTTGCCTTTGTCAATAGTACTCTAAAGTCTGGTCCCATTCCAGAATAAACTATACCAATATTTGGACAAACATTTGCAACTTTTTCAAGTGATGAATCATCAATCAATGGTGAAGCTGTCTTTTTCTCAGTAGCAACAACAACACCATTTGTAGCTAATATTATTTATTATGCATAGTATATTTAGTAAATTTCTTTAATAAGGTAAAAAGATTATTTTGCTCAAAAAAGGAAAGCCATATTTTTACACACCTTTAATACCAATGCTTGTTACACCTTGAGCAACCGCATTCAATGCATACTCAATTTGAACAAGCTTGCCCGAAGGTGAAAAAGTTGTTAATGAAAAACTAGTTTAAATAATTTAAAAAATATTATATCATTTATAATTACAACAGATTAAAATAAATTTTTAGAAATGATAAATCTTTTACCTATATCTATCTGACATTTTAAAAAAAAATTACAAAAGATTTGAGATTTCTATTGTGTCACAATTTTAAAATAATACTAATACATTATTGCTAATACGTAAGCTCTTCCCAACAAATATAAAATGAAGGCACCTTAGAAACTCCAGTTACTCCATGACTATGAAATAAGGCCTTCACTTTTACTTTTACAACATTACCATCAATGAATTTGGACTTAAAAAATTGAATCAGAATGCTCATGAAACTTGTTTTAAAAAATTTTTTTTGTAAAATCTTTAGGATAAAAAAAATGAGTACGCAGAACGCCAGCGGTCGCGTTTACTTCGTCGAAAATTATTTCGTCGACAATTATTTCATCGAAAGTTCATTTCGTCGAAAATTATTTCATCCTCGAGCCAGAGACCGAACGAGTTAGATGTAAGGAGTGTGGGAAGTTAGTTAAGAAATTAAGTGAAGAAAGCGGGGTGTGTGGGAAGTGTGAGGAGAAATTTGTTTAATGAAGTTTTTTTTTTGTGACGAAATAATTTTCTACGAAATGAACTTTCGACGAAACAAATTTTCGACGAAATGAACATTCGACGAAATGAACTTTCGATGAAATGGGTGTCGACGAAATGACTGTCGTGTCGACGAAATGAATCAGACCCAACAGCCAGAGAGTTAAATTGGAGTGTAGTAAAAATAATATAAATAAATAAATAATGAAAAAAAAAATTTCATCTTAAAAGAATTGGCTAGTAATTTCAATAATATGGATATGGAGGATATGAAAAGTATTGTAAATGATGATAGCGATGTTGTTGGTATCAATGTAGATAGTCAAAGCACTCTAGTCTTATCCTCAAAACAACAATCTATTTGAGGTAGATATTGGGTATAATCATTAGAACCACTCAAATTAATTATACAAGAAAAAGGGGATAAATTGTTTATTGTTGCTTCTCCTTTTTCTGCCAAAAAATTATTATTAGAAAATTTTTTTTTACAGATTGCTTCCTTTGTTGTTTAGGACATTTTTTGTTCTTGTGCTTTTATTTGCATTTTTCTTCCACTTATAAAAAGTGTTAATATCCAATTAAACAAACACATAGATAGTAAGATAAAATCAATCCCAACCATTTTTACATGATTTCTAATCTTGCATATTAACAATGTTTTCTATAGTTACATAAACATTCTATTACCAGCATCAACACTTGATCCTTTTTTTCTAACAGTGGCTTTTGGAGGTTTTGGTTTATTTTATCTTGTACTTCAGGTATAGTAAGTAATAAAGCTCCTAACGGTTCGGTTCGAACCGGTTTTATGGGTAAACCGAAACCGAACCGAAATCTTCGGTTTATAAACCGAACCGAACCGAACTTTCAGTTTATAGACCAAAACCGAACCGAATTTATTTTTTTAAACCAATAAAAATTTAAATTTGATAGTGTTACCGGAATTAGAATTCATTGGCTGAAATTCTTTAATCTATTTCGTATAGGAGAATCTTTATACATTGTTTGATTTTGAAATTTGGATAAATCCTTTTGATGTTGATTAAAAATCCGTTTATTTATTGTGAAATATGGAAAAAAAAGGATTTGTTATTATTCAATTTTAGTAATTTGAATGTATTAATATATAAAACCTAAATTCGTTGTTGTGGCATTAATTTACTAATAAAATCCGTTAAGACAAATACATTTTTTAATTAATATTAATAAAAAAAGGAGGCTATATCTAAATCCGTTGTGGCGAGGTTTGACTGTAAATTAAATAACGTGACTCAAATTTAATTTATTATCATCACATGATTAAAAAAATAAAATCTTGGGCAATTTCTTATAAAACCTCTTGCTTTCTAATTTCGGCTTTACAAATGCTTCCATAATAACCTAGTCTTAAGTCTACTACATACATCATATAAAATAATGAAGAATTAAACTGCTACTAGAATTTATCAATGTTATTTTACCAACCCGGCTAATAGTCTTTACTCCGTAAAACACTGAATATCTTTTTTTAAAAAAAAGGGCTATTTTTTTATGAGGTTTACATATTCTTTAGTAGATTCTTGTGGGTTAGGTTTATAAAAAAATTACATTTTTTTGATTGTTTATTGTATATACTGTATATAGTAATAGCAATAATTATTTGAAAAATTTATACATGAGAAGTTTTGTAAAACTTGAAAAAGTACCACTTAGAAAACTGACGTGGATTTTCTCATTAACAATCATTTTTGTAACACTTAAATTCGAAAAATTCCTTCTTTTAAAACAAATTCTATATGAAAAATGACCTTTTAATGTCGTACCAATTAAATTCATCTTTTGTTAATTAATTGTTTGTCACACGCCATTAAATTCTCCGCAAAGAAAAGAGAAATAATGTAACTGTCATTCTCAAAAAAAAAAAATCCTCACATTCATTAAAACACCAAGTCGAATTTTATATTTTTATATAATGTCGCATGCTAAATTATTATCATCGTTATCACCAGAAAGAAGGAAATTTGTATGTAAAATTTATAATGAAATACTTAATAGTACTAATGTTAATCCTGACAGAAAAAGTAGAAAAGATTATTTTTTTTCATTAATCAAAAAAAACAAGGAACTTTCAGAAAATGAAAAAAAGTATTGTAAAGAAAGGTTTATCTATGATTTTGAATTAAACAATGTAAGAAATAAATGGTGTGAGCCAAAAGAATGCAACAAGTGTAAATTGACAAGATATTCTAATAGATTCTGTGAAGGTTGCATTAGTTTACAATTACAGAGTCTTTTCACCACTTGGACATCTGGAAATAACATAATTGATAATTTTATTCAACAATGTCAAATGATATCATCTCTGCCAACTTATATTTTAGAATGGATACCTATTGAACAATTTAAAAAAGTAACAAAGTTAACTGAAGGTGAATTTAGTTCAATTTTTACTGCTACATGGACAAGAGGATCTATTGTTGATTACAATGAAAATAAAAAGGAATTTAGTTATTTTGGAGGTAGAGGACAACTAGTAGTATTAAAAAGTTTAAATGATTCAAGTAATTCAAGAAAAGGCTTTCTTGATGAGGTTAGTAGTTGTCATTTAAAACAAAAATAAACAATATTATATTATATAATGCTAATTGATTTTATATTTATTTTCAGGCAATAAATTATTGTAAAATTAAATCACCACTGATTGTTAAATGCTTTGGTATAACTAAATTCCCAGATAATGGAAATTATGCAATAGTTTTAAGTTATTTATCAGAGGGAAATTTAAGGGATTATTTGCAAAAAAATTTAACATTAAAAGACAGAATTAGAATCTTTTATTATTTGTGTTATGCATTAGATGATATACATAAAAAAAATTTAATCCATTGTGATTTACATAGTGGTAATATACTTATAAAAGGAGGTAATTGTTTGATTACAGATTTGGGATTATGTGGACCAGTTAATGAAAAATCATCAAATAAAGTCTATGGAATTGTACCATATATTGCATCCGAGCTACTTAAAGGCAAAATTAATACAAATAACACAAAAGAAACTGATATCTATAGTGTTGGGATGTTAATGTGGGAAATATTTGCAGGTCATCCACCATTTGATTATAGAGCTCACAATCATTGCTTGGTTTTTGATATATGTGAAAAAGGTTTACGACCACCAATATTATCTGAAATGCCTGAAGATTATGCACAAATGATGCAGAGGTGTTGGGATGTGGATCCATCAAAAAGACCAACTAGTAAAGAACTTCGGAAGTTTGCTAGAAGTAAATATAATGATATTTCTAAAAATAATAATGGTAATAGTAATACTACTACTACTTATAGTAATAGTGCTTTGCAACAAGCACACAAATCACATCCAGATGCATATCATACAAGTAGAATCTTAGATGGTGAGATTACTAAATCTAAAAGTTTAAAATTTTATACAAGTAATGTTAGTTTGTTAAATAGCCTTGATTATAACTCTTTTATCTTAAACGTTGAAGGTGAATAAAAATTTCATTATTAACTAATTGGAAATTATCATCCATTAATAAATAGTAGAAGAAAGAATTGATTAATGACTAATTTAATATCCACTATAGATTTTCTCAACATCTCTGTTTAGTTGTTCATCAACCACTACTTTATCATAAATCTAAAAAATTTATTTATTTATTTATTTATTTAATAGATGAATTTACACATATTAATAATATATTTATTTTTACCTGCGACATTATTTGAACAGTAGAAAATCCTGATGCAATAATATTATCTATCATTTAAAGGCATATAAGCAGTCTCAATCAATTTGTCAATAATATCATCTGGCACAACCCATTTTGAAAATTTTCAGCAAATAGTACCAAAAATATTAAAATTAAAAATTTAATAAATCAATAATTAATTTACCCCTCCAATTTCTAAAATTGAATTAGCAGTAATTCTTCCATTTTGATGTAATCTGGCTGTGCTTTGAAGAAACATTATGGATTTTCTCAAATCACCATTAGATATCTTAAGAATCTCATCTATAGCCTATTTGGTAATTAAAGGGAATACATTAACCTAAATATTTCATCAAGCATTGACTTTGTATGTATTTATTTCTTTAATAATAATAGTATTACCTTGGGATCATAATTAATATTTTCATTTTCACAAATATGTTCAATTCGTTTTTTGGCACTTGAAATATCCAGTGGTTTAAATCGAAATTTTGCACAACGAGAAGTCAATGGTTTTATTATACTTCAAACAATTTTTTTATAATGTATATTTATATTTTTTTCAGGGAAACAATTAGTGAATTTAATTACCAGCTAACATAATAATAAATCAAACAGAAACGAGTGATTCTAGAATAATTTTCCATTATGTGTCTTAAAGCTGTTTGAGCATCATGTGTCAATGAATCAGCTTCATTCAGCATAATGATTTTGTAAGGTGGACAAGGATATTTACTTATGATTGACCATATGTAGATAAAATTTTTTTTCCAGATCATGTTAAAACCATTACTCTGAATTTTTAATCTAATAATTAATTGCTTTTCTTAAATAAACTCTAATCACCTTGCATGCCGACTAACTGCTGCACATGCAAAAATTTTTACCTTTTCCCTAATAACTTGAATTCCATGTTCATCTGATGCATTCAATTCCAAAACATGACTTTTCATTAATTCTGGACTGATGATAAACCAACCATAATTATGTAAATGAACATAAAAGATTCATGTATAATTTGATTCAAAAATATACAATTTTTTTTTTACCCAAACAATTCATGAGCTAAAGCTAATATTGTTGAAGTTTTTTCAGTTCCTGGAGGTCCATAAACAACATATGTGGTAACTATTTATTTAAATTGATAGATTCTATAAAAAAAAATTTATAAAAAATGTGTCTTTTAAACAAATTTCTTACATTTTGTGACTTGAATGTTGTTTTTAAAACTGCAATAGTTTGTTCTTGTGAGCTAACACTATCAATGTCTTTTGGGCGACTTGAAAAAAAAGTAAATGTTAATATTAACTATATTTTATCCAATTATCCTTTATTTTACATTAAAGGTAATGTAACTCACTATTTTTCAACCCGTGATCGTATACTCTCATTATTATTACTCATTTTAAAATGAACAACTAAGATGGTTTTTTTTGCTGAGTGAAGAGATGCGTGAATTTGGAATCTGCGTCAATTTGAAATTCACGCGCGTGAATTTCAAATTAGCCAATCAGAATTTTGTATTCAAACACCCACACAAAATTTAATTGACATTAATAATATTGGTAATATCTAGGGGTAAGTAAATAAATGGGGGGGGACAACTCGATGTTACACATATAGATTTTGTGAATCCAAAACTGTCACGCACTATGAAATTACTAGTATTTA